GCAAGCAAAAGATAGAAAGAGAGGGAAAGTGGAAGAGAGAGCTTATTATGGAGGATAGGTGTCAGGCGGTGGCAGGAAAAGGTGGGAGGAAGGCACAGGAGAGAGATAGGGGGGAGGAGGAGGGGAAGACGACATGGATGATAGCAGCGAGGGAACTGGTCAGAGATGAGGAGGAACAAGTTTTAGGACTGGGAGAACACTGGAAGCAGGGGAAATCAGGGATCGGAAATAGAAGAGATGAAGAGGACGATGATGGAAGGATTAAGATACAATTAAGTAGTTTATTGTAAATACTTCAAACACAAGCTGCGTAATCTATGATAGTAATGCAAATGAATACAATCCTGGCTACTTAGGAGCTATTATAGAACATATTTTACATTCCAGTTTATGAAAACATCCATTATCCACTTGGAGGTAAAATAGAAGCAAAGCTTTGTTGTAGGCATCAAAGCTGACTGGTCTACATATGTTTCTACTACAAACACTAGGAGAAATGTCCCTAAAGTAGCACAACAGCAGCTAGTGTTCCAGTGTCTGAAGTCCTGCCAGCTTCCATATCGTCAATGAACAATTTGCAAAAACTGGCAGGATTTCCTCAGTCTGGCAGCTTTAAAACATTTGTCACACCTTTACAGAAAAGTTTGATTTCAGACAAAACTAAAACCATTTTAGAAGGAATTATTTTATGAAAAAAAATTGTCTGGGTAAAAATATCAAGACAAGCCTGTTAGAAGTTTTTTATAGTAGAAAATTATAATCTAATGTTAACAAATTTAGAGAAATCTAGCTTTTATAGTATTCTATATTTTCCCACTTTCCTTGATGGGCCCTTGTCTGGTCCCCTTTATTTTCTTTTTAAATATCAATCTTTGTTTTAAAATATTCTTTCTGTCATTCGCTCTGGTCAGACCCTGTAATTCAGTGAAAGGTGGAGTCAGATTGAAAAAAGTATGAAAGAGGGGATCACTCCAGTGGCTGGACGGAGGGGATTTTGCTGGGAGTTGGAGGGAAGTAGGCTGCCATTGAATGGCTGCTACTGCAGCATCTCTTTGTATATCAACTATAAAATAGGGGCCTTAATGAACAAGACTACACACACCGGCCACTTTATTAGGTACACCTGTCCAACTGCTCGTTAACACTTAATTTCTAAGCAGCCAATCACATGGCGCCAACTCAGTGCATTTAGGCATGTAGACATGGTCGAGACAATCTCCTGCAGTTCAAACCGAGCATCAGTATGGGGAAGAAAGGTGATTTGAGTGAC